GTTGGATGGGGAGCGTTGGTGCACAGCCATTTTCAGATCTCTCCAGAGATGTTCAATCGGGTTCAAGTCTGGGCTCTGGCTGGGCCACTCCAGGACATTCACATAGTTGGCCCGTAGCCACTCCTTTGTTATGTGGGCTGTGTGCTGGGGGTCGTTGTCCTGTTGAAAGACGAACCGTTGCCCCAGTCTAAGGTCCAGAGCGCTGTGGAGCAGGTTTCATGAAGGATGTCTCTGTACATTGCTGCATTCATCTTTCCTTCCATCCTGACTAGTCTCCCAGTTCCTGCCACTGAAAAACATCCCCACAGCATGATGCTGCCACCACCATGCTTCACTTTAGGGATGGTATTGGCCAGGTGGTGAGTAGTGCCTGGTTTCCTCCAGACATGACGCTTGGCTTTCAGGCCAAAGAGCTCAATCTTTGTGTCATCAGACCAGAGAGTTTTGTTTTTCATGGTCTGAGATTCCCTCAGGTGCCTTTTGTGGGCTGCCATTTGCCTTTTACGGAGGAGTGGCTTCTGTCTGGCCGCTCTACCACCATACAGGCCTGATTGGTGGAGTGCTACAGAGATGGTTGTTCTTTTGGAAGGTTCTCCTCTCTCCACAGAGAAACGCTGGAGCTCTTTCAGAGTGACCATCGTGTGCTTGGTTACCTCCCTGGCTAAGGCCCTTCTCCCTCAATCGCTCATTTTGGCCAGGCGGCCCGCTCTAGGAAGATTCCTGGTGGTTCCAAACTTCTTCCATTTACAGATGATGGAGTCCATTTTGCTCATTGGGACCTTCAATGCTGCAGAACTGTTTCTGCACCCTTCCCCAGATGTGTGCCTTGATACAATCCTGTCTCGGAGGTCTGCAGTCAATTCCTTGGACTTCATGGCTTGGTTGGTGTTCTGACATACACTGTTACCTGTGGGACCTTCTATAGACAGGTGTATGCCTTTCCTAATCATGTCCAATCCACTGAATGTCCCACAGATGGACTCCAATCCACTGAATGTCCCACAGGTGGAGTCCAAACCGCTGAATGTCCCACAGGTGGAGTCCAAACCGCTGAATGTCCCACAGGTGGAGTCCAAACCGCTGAATGTCCCACAGGTGGAGTCCAAACCGCTGAATGTCCCACAGGTGGAGTCCAAACCGCTGAATGTCCCACAGGTGGAGTCCAAACCGCTGAATGTCCCACAGGTGGAGTCCAAACCGCTGAATGTCCCACAGGTGGAGTCCAAACCGCTGAATGTCCCACAGGTGGAGTCCAAACCGCTGAATGTCCCACAGGTGGAGTCCAAACCGCTGAATGTCCCACAGGTGGAGTCCAAACCGCTGAATGTCCCACAGGTGGAGTCCAAACCGCTGAATGTCCCACAGGTGGAGTCCAATCCGCTGAATGTCCCACAGGTGGACTCTAATCCGCTGAATGTCCCACAGGTGGACTCCAATCCATTGAATGTCCCACAGGTGGACTCTAATCCGCTGAATGTCCCACAGGTGGAGTCCAAACCACTGAATGTCCCACAGGTGGAGTCCAAACCACTGAATGTCCCACAGGTAGACTCCGATCAAGTTGTGGAAACATCTCAAGGATGATCAGTGGGAACATGAGGCACCAGAACTCAATTCTGAGTGTCATGGCTAAGGCTGGGAATACTTATGTACTTGTGGGTTTTTTTTTTTTCGTTTTTTATTTTTAATAAATTGCAAAGATTTCAAAACAAACTTCTTTCCCATTGTCATTATGGGGAATTGTTTATAGAATGTGGAGGAAAAAAAATAATTGAATCCATTTTGGAATAAGGCTTCAACATAACAAAATGTGGCAAACGTTAGGCGCTGGGAATACTTTCTGGATGCTTTGTATTTGAAGGCCTGTTTTTATAAACAATGTTACTTTGTATCTCTCTATCTCAAATGTTTATAAACACTGTCAGATCATCTGTTTTTGACAGTAGTAGCTTCCAGAGGGACTGTTTTTTTTACAAAGCAATTCCCAGCTGTCATTTTTAGAGTTGAGAATAGCCAGCAAGTGCAACGGGACAGAAGGTCATACAACATACACTATATTGCCAAAAGGATTGGCCCCGCCCTCCCAATCATGTGATTCAGGTGTTCCAATCCCCTCCATGGACACAGGTGTATACAATCAAGCCCCTAGGCATGCAGACGGCTTCTACAAACATTGGTGAAAGAATGGGTCGCTCTCAGGAGCTCAGTGACTCCAAGCGTGGTCCTGTGATAGGTGGCCACCTGGGCAATAAGTCCATCCGTGACATTTCCTGGCTACTAAATATTCCACGGTCAACTGTTAGTGGGATTATAACAAAGTGGAAGCAACTGGGAACAACAGCCACTCAGCCACAAAGTGGTAGGTCACGTCACATGACAGGGCGGGGTCAGCGCATGCTGAAGCGCACAGTGCGCAGAAGTCGCCAACTGTCTGCAGAGTCAATAGCTAAAGACCTCCAAACTTGGTGTGGCCTTCAGATGAGCCCAACAACAGTGCGTAGAGAGCTTCATGGAATGGGTTTCCATGGCCGAGCAGCTGCATCCAAGCCTTCCATCACCAAGTGCAATGCAAAGCGTCGGATGCCGTGGTGTAAAGCACGCCGCCACTGGACTCTAGAGCAGTGGAGGCGTGTTCTCTGGAGTGACCAATCACGCTTCTCTGTCTGGCAATCCAATGGACATGTCTGGATTTTGTGGCTGTCAGGAGAACGGTACTTGCCTGACTGCATTGTGCCAGGTGTAACGTTTGGTGGAGGAGGGATTATGGTGTGGGGTTGTTTTTCAGGGGTTGGGCTTGGCCCCCTAGTTCCAGTGAAGGGAACTCTCAAGGTGACATTTTGGACAATTTCATACTCCCAACTTTGTGGGAAGCGTTTGGGGATGGCCCCTTCCTGTTCCAACATGACTGCCCCCCAGTGCACAAAGCAAGGTCCATAAAGACATGGAGGAGCCAGTTTGGGGTGGAGGAACTTGACTGTCCTGCACAGAGTCCTGACCTCAACCCCACAGAACACCTTTGGGATGAATTAGAGCGGAGACTGCGAGCCAGGCCCCCTCCCCCGACATCTGTGCCTGACCTGACAAATGTGCTTCTGGAAGAATGGTCCAACCTTCCCATAGACACCCTCCTAAACCTTGTGGACGGCCTTCCCAGAAGAGTTGAAGCTGTTATAGCTGCAAAGGGCGGGGCCAACTCCACATTGAACCCTACGGACTAAGACTGGGGGGCCATTAAAGGTCATGTGTGTGGAAAGGGCGGGGCCAACTCAATATTGAACCCTACGGACTAAGACTGGGAGGCCATTAAAGGTCATGTGCGTGGAAAGGGCGGGGCCAACTCAATATTGAACCCTGCGGACTAAGACTGGGGGGCCATTAAAGGTCATGTGTGTGGAAAGGGCGGGGCCAACTCAATATTGAACCCTACGAACTAAGACTGGGGGGCCATTAAAGGTCATGTGTGTGGAAAGGGCGGGGCCAACTCAATATTGAACCCTACGAACTAAGACTGGGGGGCCATTAAAGGTCATGTGTGTGGAAAGGGCGGGGCCAACTCAATATTGAACCCTACGGACTAAGACTGGGAGGCCATTAAAGGTCATGTGTGTGGAAAGGCCAGCGGCCCGATACTTGGGGCAATATAGTGTACTTCCAGTAAGTTTTGTGGCTGTGTGTGGTACGGCTAGTCTCCACAACTGGTTAAAGTCCTGTTCTGTGATGCTTTGATCAGATTATGGTGAAATATATCACAAGCTCCTCCTGGTTATTCCTCACCCCACCAAGTGAAATATTTGCGAGTTCAGTGCGGCAGCTGCGTCCAGCGAAGGGCGTATATTTACAGGCCCTCTGTCGTGTCCCGGTCACCGCTGGTATTCCAGCTGCTGCTCATTGGAGGACATTACGTCCTGACATATTTCAGCGTCAGGCATATCTGTTGCAATGTCCAAGCGGCCGGCGAGAGTTTACATTGGCTCCGGCGCAGGAACACGATTCCGACTTGGTGCTGAATATTCTCTTTTCTTTCCTTTGAACGCTGTTATGGAATCTGAAATCTGCCCAGAACTTGTTTAATCAGAGCGGCATTACTGTATATTTTTATACTTAATCACTTATCAGTGTATGTTTTGTATAATCCTTCAAAACGCTCCACATTCCAGATTGACTCTGCGGGGGGGGGGGGGGGGGGGGGGGGGGGGGGGGGGGGGGCGCTGCCAGGGACACGGTGCAGGAGGCGCACACTGCTTGAACCTAAGAGGGCTCCCTAGTGCAAACCTATTTTTTACTGCGATATTTACCTTGAGGAGGTAGTCCAAGAACAAGAATTTCATATATTGCAGCTTACCTGGTACCCGACGATCCTGCCAATAACACAGTCTTATGGTGACAACACTCACTCACTGTGCTGGATGGAGGAGCTACGTTGTCACCCTAGGACAGGACTATAGAACACCTCCTTCTCTTCTCATCCCCATAACAGTCTTCAGAGATAGCTAAGAATAATGTATCTGAGTCAGCAGAAACAGAGAGCACAGAAAGTCAGGGGCGTAAAGGGGCTGACTGACCATTTGAAAACTCGGGCACTGCCCGAGGGCCCGGGGTCAGTAGGGGGCCCCATGAGATGCCCCTGGTACCTTTTTCATAGGCTTTTTTTGAGTATGGGCAAGGACACGGGCCCCATGATCCCCTATTGCCCGGGGGCCCCATGAGTTGTTAGTCTGCCCCTGGGGGTGTATTTGACAAAACAAGGTGTTTCCTTGGGTGGCATTTTTCAGGGGAGTTGCGGCAGCCCCAAACCCTCCCCCCCCCCCCTGGAAAACTCAGGCCATAATTTGGCTCAAACAGCGGTCTGCAAAGCTTGATGACTTTTAAATGGAATGATCCAACATTAGCTCAGCTGCAATGTCTCCTAGTCAGCGTTGGCATATTATGGGTTAATTTGCCCTGTAACACCTTTTTTCATTTTGCTTGCCAAGAAAAAGCAGCTAATTTCTAATCACCAATGTAAGGGGCATTCTTCCCACTGACCCCCAATGTAAGGGACATTCTTCCCACTGACCCCCAATGTAAGGGACATTCTTCCCACTGACCCCCAATGTAAGGGACATTCTTCCCACTGACCCCCAATGTAAGGGACATTCTTCCCACTGACCCCCAATGTAAGGGACATTCTTCCCACTGACCACCAATGTAAGGGACATTCTTCCCACTGACCACCAATGTAAGGGACATTCTTCCCACTGATCACCAATGTAAGGGACATTCTTCCCACTGACCACCAATGTAAGGAGCATTCTTCCCACTGACCCCCCAATGTAAGGGACATTCTTCCCACTGACCCCCCAATGTAAGGGACATTCTTCCCACTGACCCCCCAATGTAAGGGACATTCTTCCCACTGACCACCAATGTAAGGGACATTCTTCCCACTGACCCCCCAATGTAAGGGACATTCTTCCCACTGACCCCCCAATGTAAGGGACATTCTTCCCACTGACCCCCCAATGTAAGGGACATTCTTCCCACTGACCCCCCAATGTAAGGGACATTCTTCCCACTGACCCCCCAATGTAAGGGACATTCTTCCCACTGACCCCCCAATGTAAGGGACATTCTTCCCACTGACCCCCCAATGTAAGGGACATTCTTCCCACTGACCCCCCAATGTAAGGAGCATTCTTCTTCCACTGACCCCCAATGTAAGGGACATTCTTCCCACTGACCACCAATGTAAGGGACATTCTTCCCACTGACCCCCAATGTAAGGGACATTCTTCCCACTGACCCCCAATGTAAGGGACATTCTTCCCACTGACCCCCAATGTAAGGGACATTCTTCCCACTGACCACCAATGTAAGGGACATTCTTCCCACTGACCCCCAATGTAAGGGACATTCTTCCCACTGACCACCAATGTAAGGGACATTCTTCCCACTGACCACCAATGTAAGGGACATTCATCCCACTGACCACCAATGTAAGGGACATTCTTCCCACTGACCACCAATGTAAGGGACATTCTTCCCACTGATCACCAATGTAAGGGGCATTCTTCCCACTGACCACCAATGTAAGGGACATTCTTCCCACTGACCACCAATGTAAGGGACATTCTTCCCAATTTTTCTTTATTAAAATTCTCGCAATCAATAAACATAAAATATTATACAGAATAATTGGGGAAATAAATCGTAACTACCACTCACATCACTACACCAGACATCAAACCTGTGAGGTCAAGAAACCACCACAACCCCATCGCCCCCCTTATGCATGCAGCCCTTCTTCAAAAAAGATCTTAATCAACAAAAACTACGGGAGTGAAAAGAACAGTATAAGGAAAGAGCCCCTCCACCCAGAGATGGACAGTTCACCAAAGGCAGGTCTGATATTCCTCCACCCCCATTATCCAGACCCAGGTGCCCGAGGCTCTCTGACCCTCTCAAGACCCCGAATCTTCCCAAACCTCACCCAGAATATCGTTGCACCACCACCTCTACAGGGAGGACTATTCTTCCGATGGTAATCTGACACCGTGCGTTATGTGAAGTAACGGACAACTCCGCTTATACTAACTAGAAAAAAGTGTTATCCAAATCAAAGTCCCTTCGATGCTGGAATGCCCCGTACACACCAGCTCTTGCATAACTCATGCGATAGAGAAAGGGGATGCCCAGAGCCCTCCCACCCTTTTATACACCTCTATGTTAAAGGGACACAGGAGCATAAAGTGGTCCCATAGACTCCACTTTACCAACACAACTCTGCTCTAGACAATCCGGTCCACAACGGCGGTGCTATTACACGTTCCCCACAGGGCGGTGCTTCAGGTTCCCTCTCACATAGATCTTCCATCATGCCTTCCATGGAAAAGCGAGCCAGGCTTGATCCCTAAACTTCAAAAAGGGATTCTCTCCAAGTTAATTAAACGCAATCCCTCCCTCATTACGGAGCCTGGGCAATCCTTTAAGGCCAGTGACACTACTGAAAGCAAAAAGCCAAAATCCTCTCCCCCAGAAGCTTCCTGGGGATCTGAAGGGACCTGATATCCTCATGCACTGTCCACCTGCCACTGCCGAAGTATTTTCAGGCAACATAAGCCGGGAGTACTTGCCATGTCGGACCTCGCGACTCTCAGACTTTTCACTGGCCCGCCATCTTCCAGCAATGCAAGAAAAGGAGCCAGGGCCTAAACCAAAGACTGAAAAATACCCACCCATCCCGGCGGGTGTCCTCTGCTAACATATTAAGCAGTGTTTTAGTGAAGATTGAACTTTAAAAAATGAGCAAAGAAAAGAAAACGATCCGGGTCTGACCATTCCTAGGCCACCCACCTGCCACTTGCCTGGACAGTAAGTTACATTGCGTTTGATCAGGAAGGTTCAGACTATTTACCCCATAACAGTTGCAGGAAGGAAAAAACAGCTGTAGAACCCGGGTCTCTGGATGCTGATTAGAGTGTACTTTAAAATGAGCATACAACGACAGAAAGGATTTAAGATTGCTGTAATGTTTTGATCAGACGAAGCTGACATAGATAAAAAGATCGGGATCAGGTAAGTTTTGATCAAGTCAACCCTCTCTCTTAAGGAAAGCCTCCATCTCTTCCAGCTCGCTACTTTGGCATTGGCAACTACCAACCTGCTTTCCCAGTTCCGATGACCATAGTCACCAGGACCAAATTTGATGCCCAAAATTTTAATTTCCTGCTGGGGCTCTGGGAAGGCATCCGGAAGTTCGAAGCTTTCACCCTCCTCACCCATCCCCCAGAAAACTTCACTCTTTTCATGGTTGACTTTAGAGCCAGAAGCCTCCGTGTACTGCTCTATCACAGAGACCACCTCCTGCGCCTCCTCAGTCCCAGAGATAATAACAGACACATCATCAGCATAGGCAATGACCTTCAAAGGCGGCACACCAGCAATGCCCAGAGGCACCCCGCACAACGATGCGCCCTCTAGCCTTCTTACAAAGGGGTCGATTGCGAAAGCATATAGCAGGGGGCTCAAAGGACATCCCTGGCGCACACCAGAGTCGACCTCAAAAGGCCGCCCAACCCAACCATTAACAAGTGGGAAGCTCTCAGCCCCTCTATATAATGTCTTCAGCCAATCTATAAACCTCCCCTGCAGGCCATATCTACCAAGCAGCAACCACAGATATTCATGATTCACTCGATCAAAAGCTTTTGCCTGATCCAATGCCAGCAAGTACTTTCTCCATCCAGCAGCCCTGCATCGTTCCAAAGCCTCCCGGATAGCCAAAACCGCTGAAAAGGTACTTCTACCTTGGACCGAACAGTGCTGATGGCTGAACAACAAATCGCCTGCTACTGACGACAAGCGCCAAAAAAGAATCTTTGCCAAGATCTTTCTATCAACATTGAGAAGACTGATGGGGCGCCAGTTCTCAATCATTGAGGGGTCTTTACCTTTTGACAGAAGAATCACAGCAGATTGCCTCATGGAGGGAGGGAGCGAACCCTCTTCTAGACAGCTATTAAAAACCTCCGCTAAAAAGGGAGCCAGAATGGACTTAAAACACTTGTAAAATTCAGCTGTCAATCCATCTGGCCCAGGCGATTTTTTGGTAGCCAGCTTGTCTATAGCATGAACTACCTCATCCGCTGAAATTGGTTCTGTCAAATTCATCAAAAGCAATGCACCATTTCCCAATCCTGGAGTAGAATCCAGAAAGCTTTCCATCCTGTCCCGGCTAAGGTCCTTTCTTCCCAGGAGGTCTGCATAATACGACCCAAAGATCTCCAAGATCCCTGATCTGGACTTTATCAGGGAACCCGTACTGTCTTTCAGGCCAATGACCGTCTTAACTGCTATGCCTTGCTTACAGTTCTGGTAAGGATCAGGCGAGTGATATTTCCCATAATCCCTCTCCAGAACCAAGGAGGCATGCCGGTCGTATTGACACTTCCTAAGAAGAAGCTTCACTTCAGAGATCTCCCCTGGATCTCCTCCATACGAGACAAGACGATCAAGCTTCCTCCGCAAATGCTGGTAGGCAATATACATACCAAGCTGCTTCTTCTTACTTATGGCCTTGAAAAGTCCAATCGCCCTTTGTTTCACAAGCTCCCACCACCCTGACTTACTGCTGCAAAAGTCCAGAATAGAAACCTGTGCCTGAAAAAAATCCTCAAAGGATTGTCTTACCTCTACATCTTCCAGGAGAGCCGAATTCAGTTTCCAGACACCCCTTCCCCTGGGTGGAGTGTCCGAGGCATTCAGAGTCACAGACAGCATACAGTGGTCAGAGAACTCCACCGCCTTCAACTCAGGAGCTGAGAAAGCAGAGTTCTCCTTTAAAAAAAACCTGTCTATCCTGCTCTGACTATTCCCTCTCTGAAATGTGAACCCCGTGCTGCCAGGGCAGTGCTTAATGTGCACATCTACCAGGCCTGCCTGTCTAACCAAATCTCTGAGAAAAACGCTATCATAACCCAGCCTGTCTATGGAGCCTCTCCTGTCTTCAGGCCTAATTATGGTGTTAAAGTCACCTCCAAAGACAACCTGCTGGGACGTAAAAAGGAAGGGCTTGATCTTTGTGAGGAGGCATTTCCTGCCCCATTTTGACTGGGGTCCATAGATATTGATCAGGCGCAGGTCCTGCCCCCTAACAGAGACGTCTAAGACCATGCATCTCCCCATTTCTACCTCAATTACCCGCCGGCACGTTACCATATCGGTTTTAAAAAGGACCGCAACTCCGCTGCAAGGTTCAGCCGCAAGAGACCAAAAGGAGGGACCACATCTCCACTCCCTTTTTGCTAGATAGACATCGGCCAATGTATTGAGCCAGGTCTCTTGCAAAAATAAAATCTCAGCATCAAACTCGCTGAGCAAAAATAAGGCCGTATCACGAGCTCTTGCAGATTTAATGCTGGCGACATTAATGGTCACCACCTTTAACAGAGTGGGAACTGCCATCAGGATGATTGGGGTAGTCGTTTCTTAACCTCTACCACACTCTCATCACCCGAAACAGCTCTCTTCAGAGTATGTGACTCCCCCTCATCCATAGATGATAGAGAAATGGATATATCCGATACCATCTCATCACCTGACAAAACTGAAAAAGTATTGCCAAGAGGGACCCCTCCTGGATCTGATTCTGAGGAAGAGAGGACAGCTCTTCTCATCCTCCTCTTCTTCTTCTTCCTCTTCTCCTTCACCCTCTCCCACCCTTCATCAGCCGAATCCCCCCCAGCAGGAGGTGAGACATGGGACATGGATACCCCTCCCTGAGCCCCATCGGCTCCACCCCCATCCGGCACCCCCACAACCTCCTGACCACGTTTGCGCTGACGGGGGACAGGTACCGGAGGTGGAGTAGGCCGAGAGGGAAGATCCGCTAAAACAGCCCCCCCAGCAGCTTCCGCCAGTCTGGAGGATCTACGTACTGTAGGATTAGGGACAGGAGGGACAGACTCAGGGGTGACATTACTGGGGGAAACACAATCTGACACAACAGAGGGAACAGACACAGGAGGGGCAACTACAGTTTCCTCCCTGGCATCAGCTGCCTCATCCTCTTTATCCAGCCTCTGCAGCTCAGCCTCCAGTCCTGGCAGGTTGTGTAGTGCCTCTGGGCACAGACTGTATGGATGACCCAGCTGCTGGCACAAATTACACCGAATCTCGGTGCATTCTTTGGCCAAATGGCCAAAATCCTGGCACAGTGAGCACTTCTTGATGGTGCAGGACGATGCAAAGTGACCTTTCTCTCCGCATTTGTTACAAACTTTAGGCTGACCTTGATAGAAAATGGTCAGCCTATCCCTCCCCAGAAAGGCTGAGCAGGGAATATGCTGAACCACATTGCCCAGCACCCTCAATTGCACTGACACCGTCCAGGCCCCTGTCCATATCCTATGCTCATCCAGGACCTTCCGCAGTGGGGAGAGGACCTCACCATGTCGGCGTAGCCAAACTACTAAATCAGCCTCTGGTATGGATTCATTCCGGACCAGGATTGTCACCGATTTTATCAAAGGCTGTCTGGAAACAACCTTTGCCACCAAACCTTTCCACTGCTGAAGGCTCCTGCACCTCCAATATCTCTCCCAAAACAGGTCCAGGCCTTCAGGTTTTACAAATGACAAATCGTATTCATAGCTGCCGACTGGGCAGATCAACGCAAACACATCATCACAGGCTTTAAACCCCATCTCTAGAATCAACTCCGCCACCCTCCCCCTTACTGGTGGGTTCCCTTCCCCCTCCCACTTCAACTGTACCACATTCCTTCTCCTGACCCCACCAACCATCCCACCACCAAACCTCCCAAAATTGTGACCATTAGTATTCCCAACACTACCCCCACCCCCCTTGGTGCGACTCCCCAAAACAGAGGCATAGCTCCCCCCAATCCTCCCAGCAGCAGAAACATTTCTGTGTCTGGGAGCATCTGGTGCAACTCTGGCAGATACCGATTGCACAGATCTGGGATTGGATGGTGTATCCTCTCTCTGCTCAGCAGGGGGAGAAATGTCATTTTTACCTCCGTCAGCAATGTTAACCCCTTCACCTCCACCCACCACCAACACATCCATTGCTTTACCAGTCTCAACATTCATAGACTTCACAGCAATGTCCACACTCACTGCTGCAACCATAGAAGCTCCAGCAGTCATCTCTTGCTCCAAGAAAGAAGATTCAGCCCAGGACTGGATTGGATTCTCAGACACAGCAACAGGTGAGACATCCATGTGTGTGGTGTTTGCTCTCCACATGGTGCAGTGTGCTGCTCCCCTCCCCCACCAGCATCAATCAGCTCTGGAGCACCTGGGAGCTCAGGTGAAACAGTCTCTCTGCAGGTGGCAGCCATCTTGCCTGTAGAGGGACTACTGGTCTCAGCAGGAACAGCAGCAGCAATTTCCATCTGTGGGGTGCTTGGTGCAGGTTCACCCACATTCCCCTGATGGTCTGGAGACCTCTCTGCCAGGGATTTTTCCTCCATGTTGGATGAGGATTCCTCCACAGCAGGCTGCCTGCAGAGCTCCTCATCCACAGTACTCACCGCAGCAGGTGGGGCAGACATGCTGGGAGCAGCCATCTTGGTATACTGGGATCTCTCCACCAGTCTTGGCTTTGCTGCTCTGAACCTCCTCTGTCCATCCTCAGGGACTTCTGCAGGGTCATCAGTGAAGGCAAACTTGTCTGCTCTCAGGGGTGACTCCATCTGCTGGATGAACTTCAAGGTTCCATATTCACCCTCAACCCCCTGGCTGGTTGCTACTGACAACTCCTCAGCCTGACATGGGGGGAGAGACGCTGATGTAGATGGTGCCGGGTCATCCATTACCTGAGGCTGCTGATCCACAGAGCTCACTGATGTCTGGCTGGCAAATCTCCTCTCATTATCAAATTTTTCTTTAAATGCTCCACTTCTTGCTTTCAACTTTTCTAATAATAAAGATTGTCTCTTTACTTTCTCCTCCATGTGCTGGAGCGCTGGCTTCATGCCCAATCTGTTCTTGCTCCAGGCCTGGCAGTATTTGGCTCTGAAGGATTTGTGTTCAGATTTTAAAACATTAAGTTTCTCCTCAGCTCTTCCAATAGTCACCAATCTATCAGTAATCTTCTGTCTGAAGACACCGACATCCTCACCAGGGCTGGGACCCACAGTCAGGTCCTCCACCTCCTCCTCTTCACTAGGCCCGGTCTCATCAGGGGAATCCCTCCCAGGGCCTCCCCCTGGATCAGGCATGGTTCCTGGGCCAAGCTAGCAGGCAAGGCCCAGGCTTGAAAATGCTGGTTCTCAGGGAGAGCTCCTTCAGTGTGTCCTCCTCCTTCTCCCACTGACCACCAATGTAAGGAACATTCTTCCCACTGACCACCAATGTAAGGGACATTCTTCCCACTGACCCCCAATGTAAGGGACATTCTTCCCACTGACCCCCAATGTAAGGGACATTCTTCCCACTGACCACCAATGTAAGGGACATTCTTCCCACTGACCCCCAATGTAAGGGACATTCTTCCCACTGATCACCAATGTAAGGGACATTCTTCCCACTGACCACCAATGTAAGGGACATTCTTCCCACTGACCCCCAATGTAAGGGACATTCTTCCCACTGATCACCAATGTAAGGGGCATTCTTCCCACTGACCCCCAATGTAAGGGACATTCTTCCCACTGACCCCCAATGTAAGGGACATTCTTCCCACTGACCCCCAATGTAAGGGACATTCTTTCCACTGACCTCCAAATAATTAATTTTAGCAGTGGTTCCCTGAGACCTAAAAAAATGTATTCAAGGGTTCTTTTGGGGAAGGTAGACTTATATATATATATATTTTTATTGCTGATAAATGCTACAAATTACATAACTCATATAAGAAAGTTGATATTTTGTATAACCGATATTTCAGAGCTCTCAAATATACCTCTACAGGGGTGGAAACTCAGGCACTGCCCGAGGGCCTGGGGTCAGTAGGGGGCCCCATGAGATGCCCCTGGTACCTTTTTTCATAGGCTTTTTTGAGTTTGTTCAAGGACATAGGGGCCCCATGATCCCCTACTGCCCGGGGGCCCCATGAGTTGTCAGTCCATCCCTGTACCTCTATTTATAGCCTACCATTACATTTTTACGATCAATAACTATTGACAGCAGGGCAGCATTCTCTGACAACACTCTCCATGTATTAATGCCAATTCCTGCAGGGGACGAGGATAACTCAAAGCATATCACAGATTTAGTAAGAGATTTAGGAGGTGTATATTTTTCAAGAGAACCATCCAATCAATAGAAGACTATAGGGGACACAAAGGGGTCCGGTATCGCCAAAACTCATATCAAGTTACAAAATATCATCCAGGATATAGTAAGATACAATGTACCAAGTAAAAGACTAAAGCCCAGTGATATGTTTGAAATTTGAATCCAAAAATGTATATATGTATCAGAATCTGCGTGGCAACACCTAAATGAGGAGACATTTATCTGCTATTGTAGACCTCCAGAAGTCCTCCTCCAGACCAGTGGACGACCTTTGGTAACAGTTGACAACCCTCAGAAACTTTGTGTCGGTGGTTAGTAACCGTTGTGTCATATCTGTCTTTTCGTAGGCTCAAACTCTCTAATGAGGAGATCAAGAAGGCCCTTATGGAGATGGATGAACAGGAGGACCTCCCAAAGGACATGCTGGAGCAGGTACGTTCGTAGTGGTGGAACTGGGTCTACACAGTGGAGGAAAGATTCAGAGTAAAATCACTTCTCTATTAATGTTTCTGAGGGGAGTGACTTTGGGTGGGGGGCCCATGGAACACAGCCCCCTTTGGAGAGGTGGGGAGACCCCTGTCTCAGCTCCCCATATTCCCATTATGTGTGAGTCACCCTGTGCCTGTTAGGGGTACAGGGTGATCTGCCCTAGTATTGGTTGGACATGTATAGGTGGGGGTTGTCCATTGTTCACTGCCACCTGCTGCATCCCATTGTTCTATTGTGAGTCTTGCTGGCCAGCAAACTATTATGGGATGTATGGGTTTGTGTATTGTCTACTGCCATGGGGTGTATCCCATTGTTCTATTATGTGTTTGTACTGGCTTGGTGGGGGGTGTTTCCGGCAGCCCTTCCCCCTGATGGGACTGCCTGCTGATGTGTTTCCTGTTACTGGGTGTATTTCCCCGCCCTGTGTATATATCTTGTATCTACAGTTGTGGCCAAAATTATTCAACCCCCAATGCTGTAAAGGGGTTTAGGGACTATAGTGTACATTTGGAATTGTATTCAGAATCAAATCCTACAAGGACGTTGTAACTACCCAAATGCAACTAAAATGACATCAATTGTTTATGTAATACAGTAGTAAATGGTTCTTATGTGGTTTCTTCATTGCCACAATTATTCAACCCCTTAAAGACTACCACTCTGAAGAACAGAGGTTCATACAGGTGCTTTCCATCAGGTATTGAAAACACCTGTGGATGTCACCGAGCAGCAATCAAGCATAATAAGCACCAATTAGGCAGCTTTAAAATGACTGTGATACTCAGCTCCTTCTAGACATTTACTGGTGTGGTTACAAACATGGTGAAGGCAAGAGAATGGTCCAGGAAGACAAGAGAAGAGGTGATTTCTCTTCACAGGAAGGGCAATGGCTATAAGAAGATTGCAAAGATGTTAAACATACCAAGAGACACCTTAGGAAGCATCATTCGCAAATTCAAGGCAAAGGGCACTGTTGAAACGCTACCTGGTCGTGGCAGAAAGAAGATGCTGACTTCGACTGCTGTGCGCTACCTGAAGCGTAGAGTGGAGAGAAGTCCCCGTGTGACTGCTGAGGAACTGAGAAAAGATTTGTCAGATGTGGGTACAGAAGTTTCAGCCCAGACAATAAGACGCACACTGCGTAATGAAGGCCTCCGTGCCAGAACTCCCAGGCGTACCCCCTTGCTGTCTCCAAAGAATAAGAAGAGTCGACTGCAGTATGCCAAAAGCCATGTGGACAAACCACAAAAGTTGTGGGATAGTGTTCTGTGGACTGATGAAACAAAATTAGAACTGTTTGGGCCCATGGATCAACGCTATGTTTGGAGGAGGAAGAACAAGGCCTATGATGAAAAGAACACCTTGCCTACTGTGAAGCATGGTGGAGGGTCAATCATGCTTTGGGGCTGTTTTGCTTCTGCAGGTACAGGGAAGCTTCAGCGTGTGCAAGGTACCATGAATTCTCTTCAGTACCAGGAGATATTGGATGGAAACGTGATGCAGTCCGTCACACACCTGAGGCTTGGGAGACGTTGGACCTTTCAACAGGACAATGATCCCAAGCATACCTCCAAGTCCACTAGAGCATGGTTGCAGAGGAAAGGCTGGAACATTTTGGAGTGGCCATCGCAGTCACCAGACTTAAATCCGATTGAGAACCTCTGGTGGGACTTAAAGAAAGCAGTTGCAGTGCGCAAGCCTAAGAATGTGACTGAACTGGAGGCCTTTGCCCATGAAGAATGGGCGAAGATACCCGTAGATCGCTGCAAGACACTTGTGTCAAGCTATGCTTCACGTTTAAAAGCTGTTATAACTGTAAAAGGATGCTGTACTAAGTACTAAGATTGAATGTCACTTGGGGGTTGAATAAAACTGATAATGCTGTGAGCACAGAAAAGACATTTGTGGTTATTTCATTATAACTGTTATGTTATATTTGTCTGACCTACAAGTGCCTCTTTAATGTAAATGTAAGCAAGATGACTGAATGATCAAAAGCAATGTCAAACTGGCCAAAACACTCAATTTCAGTGGGGGGTTTGAATAATTATGGCCACAACTGTATGTTAAAGTTAAGCCGTCCACTTCCTGTCTTTCCTACAAGTCTGGTGCTGTTTCATCTTGTATGGTCAGCGGTGGGGTCCGTGGATCTGTGTTCGGACAGGGAAGCGAGAGTCTAACGGAATTACCCTCGTGCAGTCGGGGTCCGGTTCCGTTACAATGTTATAGTAACAGTGTATCAACCACCTACTCAGAATATCGACACCAACACAACTATGCAGTGCAAAGGCCTCCTCATTTTCTTGAATCAAGACTCATCTTCTCTGGTCAGACATGACCTGAAATCTCAGTATTTTCCCAGTTAAATTAGATGGAAGTCCCAGGGGGCCCATTTACAACCTTGCGTTGTGGTAACACACGTGTTGCGGTGCCATCCATTTTGATAATAATGCACATTTGTTGTGTTCCGGAAGGCCCCATAGTGTGCTACAAAATTTGTGGTAAGTCAAATTTTCAAGACATTTTGGTTCATTGGGAGCCTTTTTGTTTGAACACACCTCAATGACCACAAGAATGGGACCTTTAGGGTCTAACTGACCTTTAGTATGTTCTGTGTGCTGTGTGTCACAAGGACACACATAACGCACATGTGTGCCGGCAAAGAGGGTGGGCTTTAATGCCTACACGCTACACGTATGGGTCTACGGGAAGTGGATGTTTCTATGTTGGGAGCATGTTCCCAGCACTAGGTCTCTAGTCACGATCCGTAGCCAGTGGGACATGATCAGGAAGTCTGTCCCACCTCCTCTTGGGTGTAAAGACCCACTTAAATGGATGGTGGGGCTGGGTGGGAAGGGATTAAATAAAATACTTATTTTTACCATGTTTTTAAACTTGCGAGCCTCTCTCATCCTCTGCAACTCCCTACCCCAAACTGTCCAGAGCCTCTCACATCCTTTGTAATCCCCTAACTCAATCAGTCCCTAGCATCTCTCACCCTCTGGAACTCCATACTCTTGTCAGTCCAGAGTCTCTCCCATATTCTGGAACTCCCTACCACATTCTGACCAGAGCTTTTCTCATCCTCTGGAACTTCCTACTCTAGGCTGTATAAAGCCTCTCCCATCCTCCAGAACCCCCTAACCCAGTCTGTCCAGAGCCTCTCCCACCCTCTGGAACTCACTACCCCAAACTCTGTACGCCAATCTTATCAGAGCCTCTCCCATCCTCCAGAACCCCCTAACCCAGTGTGTCCAGAGCCTCTCCCACCCTCTGAGACTCACTACCCCAAACTCTCTACCCCAATCTTATCAGAGCCTCTCCCATCCTCTGGAACTCCTTACACCAATCTGTCCAGAGCCTTTCCCATCATTTGAAACTCCCTACTCCAATCTGTCCAGAGCCTCACCCATCCTATGGAACTCCCTACCCCAATATGGCCAGAGCCTCTCTCATCCTCAAGAACTCCCTACCCCATTCTGACCAGAGTCTCTCCCATTCTTTGGAATGACAGAGCTTCAAACATCCTATGGAACGCCCTACCCCAATCAGATCAGAGCCTCTCCCATCCTCTGTTACTCCCCTTCCCCAATCCGTCCAGAGCCTCTCCCATCATTTCAAACACCCTATTCCAATCTGTTCAGAGCTTCCCCATCATTTGAAACTCCCTACTTCTATCTGTCCAGCACTTCTCACATCCTCTGGAACTCCCTACCCCAGTCATTCCAGAGCCTCTCCCATCCTCTGAAACTCACTACCCCC